TCTTCCATGGAGGTCATTATCATGATCAGTTTGGAGGGGGGCGGGTAGATTCCTTGGAGAACACTGCAAGACCAGGAATAAATTTGTTCCAAGTGTGTGGAAGTAAGGCCAGAATGTCTCAAGCACTTGATCCATACACAGCACATAATAATTTTAAAGTGCAGAGAGTAATATGAATACAATTTCAGGCTGAGGAGATTACTTCTCTGCACCTTCTTCGTCAACTTATGTTATATTATTCTCTTTGACATGAAAAAGTGAATCTTTTTCTTTAAGTACTGCATTATACATTTTATTGCAGTTCATCTTGATTGATGGTAAAACTATGCATTTTCGTGGTACAATACCTCATATTGCCATTTCCCACCAAAGTAGGGTGACCCAGAAAAGAGAAACACATTCACCATTACTCATTTAATAGATGTTTAACAAAAAGTACATAGACATCATAATACATATTCTAAACCACAACATCCTCATCTATCTTTCAAGAGAGCCAACTCTATAGTTTCCATCTTTACATCTCATGCACTACATACATGAGTAAATTTTTTGAACTCTATAGAATTTTTATCTCTGTCTTTCATTTTTGTCATTTACAAGGTTCTATCAAAAAGTTCATGGGTTCAAATTTTCACAGGCTTCCTGGGTGAAATATGGTGGCAGTGTAGGTCATGCTGTGTAGTACACTCCTTTGTGAAGTAGTGTGGCAAATTTGTGTGGCCGGTGATTCCATTAAGGTTAGACAGCATTTTTTGTAGTGCTGTCTGTGCATTGTTGCGATTTCATGTGTAACAGAATGGAATCTTTAACTGGTTGTGTGTGTGCGTTTGTTTTTCTATTTTAAAGTCAGTAAAACAGTATTTGGCGAGGAAGCAGTGGGTCGGGTACATTATTTGGAGTGATTTTCTTGATTCAGAGGAGGACGAATATCAGCTAAGGATGATGAATGCTTTGGTTGTCCATCAATATCAAAAACAGATACTAACGTTGAAAAAGTGATGGTTATTCATGAAGATGGTCATCAGATTCATGAAGATGGTCATGTGTTGCATGTCATTACATTGCTGTTGCCACATGACTTAGATGGTTGATACTTTAGGGATTGCAGTTGTATAGAGCAGTCATGAGTCATCCTCCATCTGGGATATATTTTGGTGATTGACCATCTCTCACTAGATGATCTTCAAATGATGATATTACTTGATTGGTGACTGATGAACTGCACTGTGTGTGCATGCTCTTACTTGATTGATGCCAGCTGCTCTTACTGGTGATTGATGGAGCTGTTTACTAGTATTGAGTGCTCTACTGGTGATAACTGCTTACTGTGATGATGCAGCTGCTCTTACTAGTGATTGATGGAGCTGCTCTTACTGGTGATTGATGCAGCTGCTCTTACTAGTGATTGATGGAGCTGCTCTTACTAGTGATTGATGGAGCTGCTCTTACTGGTGATTGATGGAGCTGCTCTTACTAGTGATTGATGCAGCTGCTCTTACTAGTAATTGATGCAGCTGCTCTTACTAGTGATTGATGCTGCTGCTCTTACTAGTCATTGATGCTGCTGCTTTTACTAGTGATTGATGCAGCTGCTGTCACTAATGATTGATGCAGCTGCTCTTACTAGTGACTGATGCAGCCACTCTTACTAGTGATTGATGCAGCTGCTCTTACTGGTGATTGATGCAGCTGGTTTTACTAGTGATTGATTCAGCTGGTCTTACTAGTGATTGATGCAGCTGCTCTTACTAGTGATTGATGCAGCTGCTCTTACTAGTGATTGATTCAGCTGCTCTTACTAGTGATTGATGCAGCTGCTCTTACTAGTGATTGATGCTGCTGCTCTTACTGGTGATTGATGCAGCTGCTCTTACTAGTGATTGATGCTGCTGCTCTTACTAGTGATTGATGTAGCTGGTCTTACTAGTGATTGATGCTGCTGCTTTTACTAATTGATGCTGCTGCTCTTACTAGTGATTGGTGCTGCTGCTCTTACTAGTGATTGATGCTGCTGCTGCTCTTACTAATGATTGGTGCTGCTGCTGCTCTTACTAATGATTGATGCTGCTGCTCTTACTAGTGATGCAGTTGCTCTTACTAGTGATTGATGCAGCTGGTCGTACTAGTGATTGATTCAGCTGCTCTTACTAGTGATTGATGCTGCTGCTCTTACTAGTGATTGATGAAGCTGCTCTTACTAGTGATGCTGCTGCTCTTACTAGTGATTGATGTAGCTGTTCTTACTAGTGATTGATGCAGCTGCTCTTATTAGTGATTGATGCTGCTGCTCTTACTAGTGATGCAGCTGCTTTTACTAGTGATGCAGCTGCTCTTACTAGTGATTGATGTAGCTGCTCTTACTAGTGATTGATGCAGCTGTTCTTACTAGTGATTGATGCAGCTGCTCTTATTAGTGATTGATGCAGCTGCTCTTATTAGTGATTGATTCTGCTGCTCTTACTAGTGATGCAGCTGCTCTTACTAGTGATGAGCTGCTCTTACTAGTGACTGATGCTGCTGCTTTTACTAGTGATTGATACAGCTGCTCTTGCTAGGTATTAACAGGTATTAATAGTTATTTAACACAGTGCTCACACTAATCACCAGTGCCAGTGCTCTCAGCATGTTAGTTTTGTATATTTTAACACAGTAAGCCCTCACGTAATGCCGTTTCATTCAGCATCATTTTGTTATAATGTTGATGAGAAGAGTTGATTCTCAGCCAGGGCTGCTGCTGGGTGTGTGGAGTTTGCATCGTCATTTTGCAATTGCAAGGTGCTTATTACAGTTTTTGGCTTTGCAAGCATTTATTTCTTGATTTAACCCTTCTGCAATGAGTGCTACAAGTGCACTGTGTATCCCTGATGTTTATATCATTTAGCCTGTAGTAAAATTGATTTTGTTATATGTCATTTCTCTTAAAAGTCAGTTTCTAAGAATGTATTGATTACATTAAGCGAGGGCTTACCGTATGTTACTTACATTTTGTATTCATGGTTATTTGTTTCATATTTTAGAATGCAAGCAAGGACACCTATTTCTCTTACATTTTGGCAAAACCAGGAAGCAAAATACACAAATAACCCGACTTGGACCATTTACAAAGTCACACTGTGTGACTTTGTAAATGGTCCAAGTCTGACGAAAACACAGTCATAAGCTTCTATCTCCTATGTGCGGGTTATTTATGTATTGTTCCAGTCACGGTATTTTGCCCTTTTGTTCTTCAGGAAGCAGATTTCTCCAGAAAATATAAGTGTTGGTATTGGGCATACAACACAAAATATGCAGGGATGTGCTCTGAGCCCAGTGTTTGAGAAGATAATGCATGCAGTAACTTGGTTTGAGTCTGTGAACTGACTCTTTAATTATAGGTAGATAGGTGTTCAGCAGTGTTAAAACTTATAAAAAAAATGTGTGTTTAGAAATTTCATGTTTGACAATGTTAAAATTGATAATGAGGTGAACTGCTGCTTGAGTAATGTGGGTAGTGAAGAGAGGTGTTGCAGAAGGAGCAGAGCCAATGTTACGTGCCATCGCTAGTCGTGTTCTCAGTAAATGTTCCTCATTGTATGATCCAATTATGTAATATCCATTGTAGATGTTAGAGTATGTAATATTTCAAATAAACTACAGTATCTTGTTTATAACTGATACCTTTATTAAATATGTCTTGTAATCTTCCTAAATAAAACCTGTTCTTTTAGTGAGTGATGGTAAATAAGTGTTGAAAGTTTAGTGGGTCAATGAATGCTTCAATTTGCAAGTGAATGAAAAGATGACAAAGTTAGAGAAAATCACTAAGAATATGAGGATGCTACCTATTATTGCATTAGTGAGTGAGTGTTATTAATAGTGATACTATTTGCTCATAGCACAGCAGAAATGAAATGAAGATGAAACAAGCAAAACTTTCTTTGTGTGTATGTGTGTGTTTGCTCACTTATATGTGGTTTCAGGGGTTGAGTTGCAGCTCCATGCCTGGCCTCTCACCTTGCCACTTGCTAGATTCACTCTCCTAGCCTTGTGAATCCTATCGTACCTATTTTTATAACTATATATGAAGTTTGCCTCCACCACTTTTTTGGCGAGGTCATTCAACTTCCTGACCACCCTGAGACTGAAGAAATACTTCCTGACATCCTTGTGACTCGTCTGTGTCTTTAAGTTTCAGCTGTGCCCCCGAGTACCTGTTTCCCACTCCTCAAATGGCTTGTCCCTGTTTGCCCTAATCAATTCCTCTCAGTATTTTGTATGTTATCATGTGTCCCCTGGTCCATCTTTCCTTCAGGGTTGTTACAGTCAATTCCTTTATCCTCTCTCTGTAGTTCATAACCCCCTTAGCTCTGGAAATAGTCTTTGTTGCATACTTTTGCACTTCTCCAGTTTCTTAAGAGGTTCCATACAGTGTGTGCGTGTGTGCGCGTGTGTGTGCGTGTGTGCGTGTGTGCGTGTGTGCGTGTGTGTGCGTGTGCGTGTGTGCGTGTGTGCGTGTGTGTGTGTGTGTGTGTGTGCATGTGTGTGTGTGTGTGTGTATGTATGCAAATGTACGTGAGCATGCAGGCATAAGAGAAGTGGGGAAGTGATAGGAGGGGGAAAAAACAGGAGGGGAGTAAAGGGGAAAGGGAGAGAGAAAGAAAGAGGAATGATAGGGTGGAAGAGAGGGAAGGGAAAAAGTGGTAAGGAGTGAGAGAGTGTATGCACACATACATATTGTACATACATACATGTGATGACTAAAGAATGTTTTTTGTGTACTGTGTGTACTGAGCCCTACTGTTGTTTGTATAAATAAGAATTCTGGTGTACAGTAAACAGTTCCCAGTTATACATTTAAATGTGCATACATATTGCAGTACTCCAACATACAGATTTCAGATATCATTATTATCATGTTCAGCTTCAGAATGAATTTAACTTTTATACTTTTAATAGTGTATAGACATAGAGACTAATGTTGGGTAATGAGAATTAGTTTAACAAGTTTCTCCTTGCAGTTGGTGGCCACGATGAGGGTGAGGAAGAAGCTGGATGGATTGAGGGTGTGGCCATTCTTATTTCTGTGGCAGTTGTTGTATTTGTCACTGCCTTTAATGACTACACAAAAGAAAAACAATTTCGGGGCCTACAAAGCCGCATTGAGGGGGAGCACAAATTTTCTGTTATTCGTGGAGGAGAAGTTCAGCAGATTGGAGTGGGAGATATTGTTGTCGGTGATATTTGCCAAGTAAGAGTCTACTTGCTGTTTATTTTTATAAATTAGAGACATCATCTCTCTAAATTACACTTTTTTTTTTTTAGAACAAAGGGCTTTCTTTATATATATAAAAAGGAGCTATCACAGAATTTCTTCATTGCACACCTCTCATCACATTTTTTCTTTCCTCTTGTATCTCTTTCTTTTGCATGATTTTGATGTTATTTTAACTTCATGTGAGATTATTTTTTTCCTCTGTGCTCCTTAATGTGTCTTTTTTTTTTCTTTTTTTTTTAATGTGAGCTTTGATCTTTAGATTGTAAATGTGCATACTTAGAGTATTAACTTTTTTATTGAGAAGAGCTTTGAATGACCTCAAAGGTCAAAGCTCTGGACCTCAAAGGTCAAAGCTCTGTAAATCACGAAAACTTCTTATGCCTGATTCCATCCCATCTACCCTCATATTTGAATAATGTAAGATCTTTCTTTCCAGTACTTACATATTTATTCCATTTACATTATCATTTTGTTTATATACACCACAGTCATTTTTATTTCTCGCTTGGCATGGGATCTTTGTGTCATCCACAAACACGTTCATATATTTTTTGTATTCTTTCTCGCAAGTCATTTATATAAATCAGAAACTTGATTGAGGGAAAGCACTAATTCTTTTGACACCCTGCTGGTGACTACCCTATGAGGGCATTATTCCTCATGTATCACTGTTGGCATTTTGCTTTCAAACAAAATCTCTCATCCACTGCAAGATTTATATATATCTCCTATGTTTTGTAATTTCAAGATAAGACAAAAAGCTTTCTTGAAAGTCTACATAAATACAGTTTCTCCATCCATTTCCTTCTTGTATATCAGTAACTGATAAAGTAGCCAAATAGATTTGATATACAGTGGTCTATCTACCAGTTTGATGACTACTTCTTGACTGATTCACAGCTCACTGTCACTGCAGCATCATCCCCAAGCTGTTGGTGAAAGCTGCATGCAGTCCCATGTAAACACAGCCTAGCTGATAAGGAATTACCTAGAGGAGCCTATCAAATTCCCTCTTGTAGACAGCTAGGGGCCTGCTAGTAATTCATTCTAAATTTATAGGAAGGGTGTTTAGAAACATTGAAGCCTCTATACTGATTACATTATTGCTTAATTTACTTATTTGATCCCTACTTTTTACTGGGATAATTTGCACTGTCTGTCTAGCCTCCCACTCTTATAGGGAGTAATTTCAGTGGGCATATTTTGAACAAGCCCTTTCACTGTTTTCCCAGTATAAATATTGATACATTTTTCTCATCTGCATTCCAGGGAGTACAGTTTAATTAAGGGACTTAAATAATTCCCAGTGTTTGAATTGATATGGGCAGTGAATGTTCTCTCCAGTATTTTTCCAGATTTGCAGTTTCTTCTGCCTTAGAATGGGAAGTTAGTTTACAAAAATATTCTAGTCTAAACAGTACAAGTTTACTAAGGCTTATCATCATTGGCTTGGTATCTCTTGTTTTGAAAGTTTTTGTTATCGAGCCTATCATTTTCCTTGCAGCTGTGATAGTAACGTTTGTGATTCTTGAACAAGAGATCTTCTGACATTCCTCTTCCAATCTGTTGAGTGCTTTGAATGTGTTTTATGCTCTTAAGTGCAAGATCAGTCAGGCTGTGATGGATATGTAAACTGCTAGCAGTAACAGCCTGGTCAAGTGAGGCAAGTAACAAGAAAGCAGGGCCTTAGGCCAGGCAGTGAGGATAAAATAACCCTTGAAAACAGTCACAGATGCCACAGTAATATTGTAATGTGTGGCGACTTCAGTAAAGGCTTCAGCTGTATAACTAATAATAATAATAATTAATAATAATAATAATAATAATAATAATTATAGTAAGTTCCAAGAAGATACATGTGTGTTACAAAGATTGCTTTATACAAATTGTTTTTCATTTAAATCCCATAGTTATGTAAAGTATTACGGGAAGACATAAACTAGGAGTAATACTAGTGGAATATAAAAAATTGTTTCATAAATATAAATATCTACAGTAAACCCTCAATATAATTGACTTTGATATAATGGACTTTGGAAATATGGGACAGAATCTACTGAATCTGTCCATTTGAAAACAGCAAAGTCCATTGGTTGTAGAATTGTTCATTATAGTTACAGTCACAGCAGAACAATCTTGTGTTTACCAGTCATCATTACTGGCCACTAGGCCTCCCTGTGCGTGTGCATGTGTGCGCGTGCATGCATGTGTGTGCGTGCATGTGTGTGCGTGCTTGTGTATATGCATGTGAGTGCATGCCAGCGTGAGTGTATGTTTGCAATCTCAAACAAGTGATAAAAAATACAACAACTCCACAATGGGGGTTATATAACTCTAGGCCTTTCATGCTGTCTCCAGCACTTCATCAGGAGCTTTCAATATAAGGAAATTGGAAAATGAGATGGAAAAAAATCTCAGATCAGCTAGTGAGGTGTTGCAGCCTCATGCCAGCGGAGACAGAGAGAGAGGCAGTGGTGCCACCCAGTCTAGGAAGCACCAGGCAGAGCTAACATATAGCACAAGACACACACACAAAGATTAAAGAATGCACATAAGCCACCCAAAAAATTTAGTTGTCCATTATCACTCTATGGTGTATAACAAATTTAGTAACATGTGATATCCATTAGCAAATGAACATTAGTTAAGGATTCAGTAAGCACTAGAAATATAGTCATTCTCTATCACCAGGCATGCTGGCTAAGTTATGTTACTTGTGTTGAATATTCCAGAATGTTTCTTAGACAATACAAAGAAGTGTTAGCCACAAGAAAAAAAAAAACACTAATGCCTCACAAATCGACTTAGAATACATGTTGTATAAGCATATCCACTTAATACTGTTACTAGCTAATTACCTCTAAAAACAAGATAAATTGTGATAATGAAATGTTGAAATAACAGAAAACTATACAAAGTATAATGGAGACCCTTAAAAATTGTGTGTTATAAAATGTCACTGGAAGACTTAGCCAGACTAGTTCTGGAGGTTAGAAGTACAGTGCCACTGTTTAGAAGACTGGATGAGATGTGGCACTTTGGAAGGTTTGAATTGATATTCATGCACTCTTTGCAGCATGGCTGTTGAATGTGTGATGGCAAAATGTGTTTGATTCTTTGGGTCACCATACCTAAGTGAGAAACGGTCAATATGGTAAAAACAAAAATGTCGTACAGTATGGTAAACTCTTAATTTAGTGGACTCTGGAAATATGGGATAAATAGATTTGGAAACAACATACAAAGCCCATTGTTTATGGAAGTGTGGTTATTGCTACAGTGATATCAAAACACTCCATCTCTGTCCATGACAGTTATCATTATTGACCACCCGCTCGCTCATCCCTGTTAGTCCTTTAAATTGAGGGTTTACTTATTGTACTTTTTAAGATGCTGTTGACTTTTTATTGAATGTTTGTAAGCACAGTTTCATATTTTTATTCTTTCAGATAAAGTATGGTGATTTGTTACCAACTGATGGCATTTTGATACAAAGTAATGACTTGAAGATTGACGAGTCATCTCTAACAGGAGAGTCGGACCATGTTAAGAAAGGGACCGACACTGATCCAATGCTGCTCTCAGGTATATATACATTCTTCCTAATTATAACCTTCCTTTTGTCTAAAGTAGGGCTAATTAATTTTAGCAAAGGCAGATGTTTCTTTTCTTGTAGTATTTTATAGTAAGTTTTCAATATGAGGAAGTGTATGTTGTTTTATATGTGTAATAAACTAAAAGGTTACCATATTAAAGTGTTAACCACTTTGCTCATCACAAAGTTTTGTAAATACACCTACCATCCGACTTACGACCTGCTTGACTTACGACCACTCGACTTACGACTGTTTTTTATGCCAAATTGCTGGGAAATAAACAACTATTTGTGTTGTACACAGTGTTTATCCTAAACCCTACAGTATAAAATACAGTACTAACAGCATAAAAAGTAAAGTAAAACATGAAATACCAAAATAAAACAATAAAATAAAGTCATTACAAAAATGTGATGTTGATATTCAGTAGTAAAGTTCGACTTACGTCCATTTCGACTTACGACTGGTTTCTCGGAACCGAACTCGGTCGTAAGTTGGATGGTAGGTGTATATGTAAATTCATCATGTGAAAAGAAATGATGGGTACATAATGTATTAGGAATGAGGTTAATACAGTATTGTCTTAAAATGTTGACATTGACATGTGCAGAAAGCAGTAGCTACAATTTTTCCCTGCAACATAGATTCTTGTTTTGCACCTCTCATCTTGCAACTGGCTTGCCTACTCTTTCCTTTTAAGTTTCTGTAGTACTTTGTGTTTTGTTCAGCTGTTGTTGTCACAATGCGCTGCTCTATGTTAATTCATCAACCCGTAAAATGTATCCGACGTACTAATACACAGGTGTTGTCTGTGTGTCTGACATACTAGTGTGCAGAATTTTTTGTACCCACAAATCTACCATCTGCCAATATATTTGACCTTAGCACAACAATTTGGGTCTTCCACTATTCATACATTTGAAAAAAAAATCTGAAGCCAGGAGGGCCCACACTGTATCATGCTTAACTACTCAGGTGATGACTGTAAGTACAATGTACTAGTATACCTCACTAGCAGAAGTAAACAATGAACCAGGAGCTGTTGTTCTGCCACCTGCTTCCCTACCAGCAAATAGGGTGTGCAGGTGGCTCAACGATGACTTATTCATTCCAGGTTTATCACAATTTCATGATAATAACGGTGGAATTCAGCCACAAAACACACTAAAGTACGTATATGTAACCCAGGATAACCTAGGAAAGTCAAATAATGTACATAATTTTCATGTCTAGAGGAGTATTACACTGAAACAGTTGTAATATTATAAGTATTCCTTCACATAGCATTAGAAGACCAAAATAGTAAAAGAAGATAATAACTACAATTATACCATCTGTTCCAAGTGGAGCAATGTCAGGCTAAACATTTTTGCATGTTTGAAGTTCTACAACACCATCAAACACATCTAATATCATAAGAAACTAGTGCACATAGTGTTAAACATTAAAAGCAATTAAGAAAATAAAAGCAATCATATCTTGGTGCCAATAAATTGTAAAATGTACATATCGCTGGCGCATTTACGCCGCTGTTGCCAATGAGTAATCATTTTTTCTCCAACTTCAACATACCATACCATAAAATTGTAAGTTTTCATCAGATTCTACTCATTTTAGTCTTTATTTTTTTTTATCATCACACTGGCCGATTCCCACCAAGGCAGGGTGGCCCGAAAAAGGAAAACTTTCACCATCATTCACTCCATCACTGTCTTGCCAGAAGGGTGCTTTACACTACAGTTTTAAACTGCTCACACTCCAACAGCATGTCAAGTATTAAAAACCATTTGTCTCCATTCACTCCTATCAAACACGCTCACGCATGCCTGCTGGAAGTCCAAGCCCCTTGCACACAAAACCTCCTTTACCCCCCCTACCCCCTTCAGCTTTGTTTCGCTTAGGGCCAGGACATCCAACTCTCTTTTCATCATAAACACAGCAATCATCTATTTTTGTCATCTGCAACTACATCCACGCACATTTAAGCATCCCGTTTCTTAAAGTTTTCTTCTGTTTTAGTAAATGTCTACAGAAGAAGGGCTTACTAGACCATTGCTCCGGCATTTTAGTCGCTCATACAACACGCATGCTTACGGAGGAAAGATCTTTTCCACTTCCCCATGACAATAGAAGAAATAAAGAAGAACAAGAGCTATTTAGAAAAAGGAGAAAAACCTAGATGTATGTATATATATATGCATGTGCGTGTCTGTGAAGTGTGACCAAAGTGTAAGTAGGAGTAGCAAGATATCCCTGTTATCTAGCGTGTTTATGAGACAGAAAAAGAAACCAGCAATCCTACCATCATGCAAAACAGTTAAAGGTTTCTGTTTCACAGTCATCTGGCAGGACGGTAGTACTTCCCTGGGTGGTTGCTGTCTACCAACCTACTCATTATATAAGATTTTTTTTTTAAATCTTCCCACACATAGGAAGTTTTTAACATATATCCCACAGTTAAGGGTTAAATAAACAACAAAGCCACATATTAATACATGTATTAGTTAGAAAATCATTGTCGTGGGCAGCTTGTTGCAACAGCATAAAATCATTGTTGTGGCCAGTGTACAAGCTGTTTCAACGGTAAATAAACATACACATGAAACAGCATTATACAGTGGACACTCGACTAACGATGGCATTGATTAAGGATAAAATCAGGTAACAATGCATTTTTTGCGTAAAAATATTGGCTCGACCAATATTTGCGTAAAAATATTGGCTCGACCAATATTTGCGTAAAAATATTGGCTCGACCAATATTTGCGTAAAAATATTGGCTCGACCAATGAAAAACTCGGGTAAGGACATTCGTCCCGAACGCATCCGCCTGTCCATCCAGCCTGAGCGCCTCAGCTACTCTGCCTTCAGCTAGTTTGCCATTGTTTACAAGCCAGGGTGGACGGTTCCACGCATACTTTCGATACATTTTGTATTAATCCATTTTTTTAGTGCTTGTAACTGCTAAATAAGCCACCATGGACCCAAAGAAAGCTTCTAGTGCCAACCCTGTGATAAAAAGGGTGAGAAATGCTATCAAAATACTATCATACCAGGGTCAGCTGTTGCTGCACCGTCAGCTGCTGCTGTACCACAGTCAGCTGCTGCTGCACCACTGTCAGCTGTTGCTGCACCACGGTCAGCTGCTGCTGCACCACCGTCAACTGTTGCTGCACCACTGTCAGCTGCTGCTGCACCACCGTCAGCTGTACTACTCGAAGATGTGGAGAGAGTTGTTGGTGTGGCTTAACGAGAAACAATGACCGAGAAACAATTAACCCCAGAGGGTTAGCCACCCAGGATAACCCAAGAAAGTCAGTGCGTCATCGAGGACTGTCTAACTTATTTCCATTGGGGTCCTTAATCTTCTTCCCCAAGATGCGACCCACACCAGTTGACTAACACCCAGGTGAACAGGAAAAAATGCCTGGAGCTAGTGCTCATATTGGTGAATTTAAAGGCCAGCAAAGGTTGGTTTGAGAGATTTAAGAATCATAGTGGCATACACAGTGTGATAGGCATGGCAAAGCTGAAAAATTCCTGCCCCAACAAGTATTCAGTTGTGATGAAACAGGCCTGTTCTGGACCTGTGTTACTCAGGAGAAAATGGCACTCCCAGGACACAAGCCTATGAAAGACAGGCTAACTCTCATGTTTTGTTGTAATGCTAGTGGGGATTTCAAAGTGAAGCCTTTACTCATGTATCACTCAGAAACTCCCAGAGTGTTCAAGAAAAACAGTGTCTCATCACTCATCAATACTCTTCAATAAAGGTAAGTGTCATTTTAGTATTTATTTATGTATTTATTGTGCATGTCTCATTGTTTTCTTTGTAGGGAAATGTATATTTCATATAAAAAAATTATTATGTTTTAATACTTTTGGCTGTCTGGAACGGATTAATTGGATTTCCATTATTTCTTATGGGGAAAATTAATTCAGCTAACGATAAATTCGGCTAAGGACAAGCTCTCTGGAACGGATTAAAGTCGTTAGTCGAGGGTCCACTGTACTACTATTTGATTCTCTAGTGACAAGACTTGTATAGTGAACAATAACCATCTTGAAGGACTGTGTTTTAGAAACTGATGTGGTCATGGGGTACTGTTACCAGATGATAGTTAATGACTTTAAAAAATTAGACAGAGTTAGTGACAAATAGCAGGATTACTTTTGAAGTAACTTGTTAATTTTTTTTTTTTCAACAAGTCGGCTATCTCCCACCAATGCAGGGTGATCCAAAAAAGAAAGAAAATTCCCAAAAAGAAAATACTTTATCATCATTCAACACTTTCACCTCACTCACACATAATCACTGTTTTTGCAGAGGTGCTCAGAATACAACGTTTAGAAGTATATACGTATAAAGATACACAACATATCCCTCCAAACTGCCAATATCCCAAACCCCTCCTTTAAAGTGCAGGCATTGTACTTCCCATTTCCAGGACTCAAGTCCGGCTATATGAAAAATAACTGGTTTCCCTGAATCCCTTCACTAAATATTACCCTGCTCACACTCCAACAGCTCATCAGGTCCCAAATACCATTCGTCTCCATTCACTCCTATCTAACATGCTCATGCATGCTGAAGCATAATGGAATTAGTGTAAAAATATGTACCCAGAGGACAGTATTGGAGATATATCATTTTAAATATAATTTGCAGGATGAAAATGAAATAAGTGATGCTTGATAATCAGTAGTGTAGAAATAACAAAAAAGTCACAATACCGTGACTGGAACGATACACAAATAACCCGCACATAAAAGAGAGAAGCTTACAACGACGTTTCAGTCCGACTTGTCAATGGTCCAGGTCGGACCGAAACGTCGTCGTAAGCTTCTCTCTTTTATGTGCGGGTTATTTGTGTATCAATAGTGTAGCTTTGTAATATCAGATAAAATACTGTATTTTCCGGCACGTAAGGCACACTTTTTTCCCCACGAAAGTCTTGGAAAATCAGCTTGTGCTTTATATGGTCATGGTCAGGGGTCAAGGGTAGGCTTTGGATTAGGCTTTAGCAGTTGTTTACTAATGTTACTTTGCAATTATTTGGAAGCATTGCCTTATACTATACTCGTGCGCCTTATATTCCAGAAAAACCACAGTACGGGTGGGGCTCGAACTCATAGTAAGTTTGTGGTAAAACTCCAGGCCAGTGTGTCAGCCACTGGGCAAGCTGGCTGTAATAAGATTCATCCAACTAGGTATATTTATACATCCCAGGGAGGTTAGCATGGGCCCCCACTTGGACCACAAATGAATCTCTTGCCCAGTGTGGTTGTGACAGACTCTAGCTTAAAGCCTGGAGTTTTACAACTCACTTGCCACAAGTTCAAGCCCCACCTGTACCGTGATTTTTTTGCAATCATGTTATTACAAATAACAAAAAAAGGCACAATACCGTGACTGGAACGATACACAAATAACCCGCACATCGTTGTCGTAAGCTTCTCTTTTATGTGCGGGTTATTTGTGTATGTTATTACAATTTTGTGAGTCGTGCTATATGCCAGAAAATATGGTATGTAGAGTATTAAAATTTCTTAATCCCCCCAAATTTAAATTTCTTTTTACTTGGAACAGGGACACATGTGATGGAAGGTAGTGGGAAGATGTTGGTCACAGCTGTTGGTGTCAATTCTCAAGCTGGCATCATTTTCACTTTACTAGGAGCTGCAGCAGATGAAGAGCAAGTTGAAGCAAAGAAACGAAAAAAAGGTACTACTACCCTGAGATGACTGTTACTTGTGTTTGAAGCTTTTTTAATAACATATCTTCTGTGGCTAGTGGCTAGTTATGTCTAGGTTTGTAGTTGTTGAGGTGATAGTACTGAGCTTCATTGTGGAACAAAACATAACAAATATAATTTGAATTATCTAAGATCAAAAAGTTTTTTCAGTGGTATGTTTTTGGATGAGAATTATACACATTCGTTACACTCCAATGAAACTCGGGCTGTCAGATTTTTGCCACATCATAGCCATGGTATGCAAATTATTATTGCTGTTAATATTTAATAATTTTCTGATAAGTCTCTTTCTTCACATCACTGAAATAGCCACTCACCTGATACCATCTTTTTTTGAATTTCACCCCTGGCATAAGTATGCATGTTGCACTTGACAGATTTATAGCAAAAGTTTTTTTAAATGAGAATGAATATAGATTAGGCATGTTAGTAAAGCCAGTTATTAGATTTTATAATTAAAAATTACTGTAGTGTATTCAATTTGAGTATTAGCTTAGGGATGGCAACATTTTCTTGAGATAAACTTAGTAATTTATGATTTACTTAGTTATAGTAATCTTGAATTAATATTATTCCATTTTTATTTCAAAGTAACAAATTACGTAACACTGTTGAGTTTCTATTAGCTACTGCACTAACTATTGTTGCTGGAACTTGTATATGGTTCAGTGAGGGAGGACTATCTTTCACAATTGTAGTCAGGCTTTATTGCAGCTGTAGAATTTCAAAGAGAAAGCTTTATATTATTGTTAAAGCCAACTGAGAGCTATTCATCTTTGACTGAATAGTGTCAGTAGCTCTCATAGTCATATCAGGAGGTCAGAATTGTGTTGTCCTGCAGTTAAACTTTATATTGCATTTCAAAGTTGAAGGTACTGTATAAGGTTTGTAATCAATTTAAAAATAGTACACAAGTACATTATATGAGGAATTGCCAGAGGATATACTGTGCATCTAGAGTTCTATACTAATTTGATTAATCTGTGCTAAGCTCCTGTTATGAAGTTTTTTTTTATAACCCATACTGACTCAGTTGTGGTTAAGTCTGTTCTCAAGTACTCCTCTAACCAGGTTCCTAAATAATTTTAGTACTTTTCTTACCTCTGCTACTTAAAGCTTATGGATTTGATTTGTATATCCTACCTAGTACTAATGATTTTATTATTTTCAACATCTTTTTTTTGCATGTAACCCTGACCAACCAACCAACCACTACCGTTGTTGCCTTCCGAATCCATCATCATCATCAATCACCGCTTGTGCCCCAAAACAGAGGCCAAAAAGCAGCGGAAAAAACAGAAGAAGGGCGACTCGGGCGAAGAGTTGATTGACGCCAATCCTAGTATGGCTCTACTGGCTTTAGTATTTCACATCCTCCTGCTACCTGTTTTTTCTTTTCAGGATATGTTTTGTCATTTATTTTCATCCACTTTTATCGTGTCCCATCTATACAATTGACTGTTTTGTGTGTTTGATGTTACTGTTTGGGTATCAGTGTTTTCTATTTTTATACAATGTGTCCTTGCCAAGACAATGTTAAATTTATATTATAGTACTGTAGGTAATTTTTAATTTTCTGGCCTCGCTGTTCGTAATGTCTTTGTATGTTGCTGAATTGTTGTTGTGGTAGATTCTGCTGATGCAGTATTCTTTATGTAAAATGGCTTTGCTAAGTTATAACTGTGCTTAAAAGGTATATGAGTCATTGTTTTGGCAAAGTTCAGTGCCTAATGTTTTTCTATGAAAAATAAAATGAAACCAATTATAGTACAGTATTGGCTTTTGAGTAATAATAGAGTTCAAGATAAAAAGAAATGTTAATGTTACTGCATGATTATTAGACTTGAATTCAAAATGTTTATCATTGTTGACTTAATATTTTCTCTCAACAGTAATCATTCACTGTCATTATTGCTTCCTTTGGGAATTGTCTGATGAAGCTCTCAAAGTAAGTGGCAATACCTACTTAATGTTGTTGTGATTTACAGACAAGCAAGGGGACGGTGAGGCTGCTGCTGTAACGGGCAACTCCCACCATATAACGGCCAATTCTGCAAATGCCGATGGAGATGTAAGAAATAATAAACATTCAAAAGAGGATGAGGATGAGGGGGAAGCACACAGACCATCAGGGGGAGGTAGTCAGGAGAAGTCTGTGCTACAAGCAAAGCTAACCAAGTTGGCTATTCAAATTGGTTATGCTGGTAAGCTAATAGTTTGTGTTAACTTACTATTGTATTTTTCTTGAACTGTTTAAAGTATTAAAAAAATATATTTTTAAGATCACTGTAATATTAACATTGACACAAGTTAATATTGAGCTTGTTATTTTGTTGTTTTCTTTATGAACATTGGCATATGTGAACATCTTTAACTATTCTGAAGTAGAGGGCTGATGTGTTCAAAGGTAAATTAGTCTTGGTTATCCATGGAATGTTTCACCTTCATTCTGCTCTGTCATGTTTGTATGTTGCAGCAAATTACATTTATTTAGGTTTTAAGAAGACTTTCAACAGAGCTCCTCACAAAAGACTAATCTGGAAACTAGTTAAGAACAACCACCAACACTGAGATTATCACTGAAAACACTTAGATAAATGAAATAGAAACTCCCGTAAACATTGGCAAATTTTAAAATAGGAGAAATACAGAAGGGCTGAAAAGCTGTTCACAGGATTTACTAAATCAAAATTTGAATATGCAGCAGTGTCTTCACTTATTAAATGTATGGATAAGCTAGAGAAAGCCCAAATATTAACCATGAAAGGTCTCCCAAAGCAGAAAAAAATATATTTGTAATAAAGAAAAGCAGAAAGCATTGGATATTATTTTTAGGTAATGTGAGGAAAAGAGGAAACACAATGGCTACTTTTAATGTTAAGTAAATGTACACAAGGAGCTACTGAGACATTTAACCCTTAAATGGTCCAAACTTATATATACGTTCACTCGCGCAGCGCCCCGAATATTTTGAAAAAAAAAAAAAATCTTTTTTTTATATAGAAAAAAAGAGCATATTTTTTTTAAGCGTTTTAGCATAAAAAAAAATTAGGGTCAGTACTTACCGAGGTATGAGGCCGCGAAGTTGGCACTTGGCGATCACCTGACGGCAACATGGATCACTGCTGCTTGCAGAAATTCAACATATTTACCATTTTCTTCCATTTTTTTTTTTTTCATTTTCTTGGTTTTCATGATATGATAATTATGTTTCATAGTAAGTCATTTGATATCAATGCCAATTTTTATTTATACACCAATATTACATACAAAATTTTTATCATATTGTCATAAACACACATGTACACACTGACAGGTTATTTTGCACACCTGGCTGAATCACACATTATTATCTACAACTATATACAAGTATTTACATGTCCCACTTATGTTTCTAGAACTCCACAACTGTATGATACTCCATGAAGCATGGATTCATACAGAGTGCCACCCCATACTGGTGACACACGAATCGTGTGTCCTTCCGCTGTTGGGGTCGTTTTTTGGTGGTAGCACACACAATACACTTTTTCTGGGCATTCTTCTTCTTTTGGGTAGGTGGTATTGGTACCAGATAGTGACAGTTAGGAGTGATTCGGTCTGGCACTTCCCCCACTGGCTGTGGTTGGGGGACAGGTTGTGGTGTGACAGGTCGCTGTTGGGGGGAAGGTACAGGTGTGGTACCATACTTTCTTGCTATCTGTTTGATGAGATTCAGAGAGAAATCTGCAAAACGTTGTCGTTTTCCAGTCTTTACTTCGTACATATTGAATGCATTGAGCACTGTAATATCTACAAGGTGAAAAAACAGTTTTATATACCAATTGCGACTCCTACGCACACAGTCAACAAACCCTATCATCATGTCACACTTGTCAACTAGTCGCATGTTGTTCGTATAGTCCAAGACAGCAAGTGGCTTCACAGTAGGTTCGTTGTTGAACTTGCTCAGTCTGTCTGTTTGTACCATCTCGTTTCTGTGGATGGTTGATAGCAATGTCACGTCTCGTTTGTCATGCCACGTCAGTGCCATGATGTCATTAGCATGAAACGCTTGCACTTCACCTTGGCATATGTTTCCTATTCCTTCTCACTGTTCCACATATATCAGTATTGTTCACACATAGGAAATCAGCAATCATAGGGCTTGTATACCAGTTGTCTGTGTACAATGTATGGCCCTTGCCAAGGTATGGTTCCATCATCCTGCGAACAACATCACCGGAAATGTCCAACATCCTTCTGTCATCATCGAGTGTGTTTTTCCCTGTGTATACAATTACATCCAACACAAGACCACTCTCATAGTCACACGTAACAAAAAGTTTTATACCAAAGCAATTACGTTTGCTCAGTATATATTGCTTGAATGACAGGCGTCCCTTGAACAGAATCAAGGACTCATCAACAACAATGTTCTTGAAGGGATAAAAGTATACACTGAATTTCTGCTTCAAATATGTAAACACTTCCCGGATTTTGTGATGAAAGATTGGATATCAGATTGGAGGGAGAGAGTATGGAGGAGGTGAATGTATTCAGATATTTGGGAGTGGACGTGTCAGCGGATGGGTCTATGAAAGATGAGGTGAATCATAGAATTGATGAGGGGAAAAGGGTGAGCGGTACACTTAGCTCATTTCTGTCTGGCGTATTTCTGTCTGTGAAGTGCAACATTCGTAGCAACAGAGTGAATCTGTTGCAGGGAAGGAGGTCATGGAAAACTGGAGTACTGATGAAGTGGTCTGTAGACCATTAATTACGTATATTGTTCTTATAGATATGTGGCATAAGCATGACAGTGGCAAGGAATAAATACATTTCAGCCACTGTTGTGTCTTTCCACCTGTGCAGCCGTGACGATTCTCCAACCTCTGTTGTGTTGTTGTATTGGTAATAAATGTTTGTTTGAGTCACTATCAAATTCATTATAGGCTCGTCAAAGTACAACTGGAAATAGTCTAACTCTGTAGACTCATTCGTTATGGGACATTCTGGCTGGATACCACTTCCACTACCATCAAAATCACAAGGCTGTGGCACGAATATACTTTGTGTCCAGTTCCACTCACGATCACATGGTGCAGGGTGGACCTGTGGCATGGGGCGAGGGAGGGCAGGAGGAGGAGGAGGAGGGAGAGGAGTGGAGGCAGCACATGGTTGAGGGGGTGCCGAGCGGTCCTTTGTCTGTCCACCCACTGCGCCATGTGGTCCAGGCACCATGCCACCCACCACTACTTCCTCCATCCCCACATACTCCCCTTCGTGATCACTTTCACTATCAGTGGCCGGGGTTTTGGATCGTGACCTGCCACGACCCTTGGGGATTGCATATGGCACACTGCCTGAACGTAGATAACGACGCCTAAAAGTACGTTTCACTGGTGAATAATGAACATCACTATCACTAGACGAATCCTCAATTGGCATAAAATCAATCTCATCATCACTTACATCACTTTCACTATCACTACTAAAACACCGGGAAAATGATAGTTTCCTCTTGCGAAGTTGCCTATGGGTAACACTTGCCACTCCAGAGGTGCTTGGCCCAGGGTCTTGTGTGGCCACACTGCCCACCCCAGAAGTGCTTGGCCTAGGGTCTGATGTGGCCACATGGCCTACCCCAGAGGTGCTTGGCTCTAGGACAGGTGTCGCTACCCCAGAGGTGATGGGCTGGGGGTCATCTGGGTTATCGTCGATATTTTCACTAATTCCTTGAATATTACTGGCCCCATTGGTGTCAAATCCACTAAACTCACGATCTCTATCACTTTCCTCGAATAGTAGTGTTAATACGACGAGGCGTGAGTGAATCACGAGGATGTGCCATGATGTTGACCCAGGATGGAGCTGAATGTAACTGGTCCTACCATGTGGTACCCAGGCGTCCCAGATTTTTTGTATACTGCGCACACCCATTCTCTCATGTCTAGGCGACTCAGGCCTATCGCGCTAATTTTGAACGAATGAAAAATAAAATGTATATATACGTTTGGGGCGCTACACGCGTGAACGTATATATACGTTTGGACCGTTTAAGGGTTAAGACTGCTATGTTTAGCTTAGCTTACCAGAAGCTTTACAAAACAAACTAAATGTAGCTGTAATAAATATCTCACTAGTTGCTTTTGTGTCTTTTTATGTGATGTATTGTTAGTAATTTTACCAATAACTATATACTGTAATTACATTAAAGATTATAAAAGGAGATGAACTGTGTGAATATATTAGACAGAATTGAACGGTGACAAGTGGTTTTTAATTAATGGATGTGCTGTTGGAGTATGATTAAGGTAATTCTGGGAAACTGGCTAGTTGGACTTGAATCTTGGTGATGGAAGAGCAGTGCCTACACTCTGGAGGAAGGGTGGGGATGTTTCAGTCAGAGGTAGTAATTTGACTGTGATATCAGCACACTTCTGAAAAGACAGCGATTGAATGAATGATGGTGAATGCATTTTCTGCTTTGGGTCACCTGCCTTAGCTAGAGAGAGCTGTTTCATTAAAAAAATATTTTGGAGTTTCTTCTGTGCACTACATTAAATAGCCTATAGACAGAAAGGTGATATTAAGGCTCTGAATTTTTTGCAAGTTGAACAGAATTAAGAGAAACTTAGGATTTCACACCTTAATGACCATAAATTGTATGAATGTGTCATGGTTAGTAAGAGGTGTAGGAATACCACCTGGTTATCCTGCCTACAAACCCACAAGGCTCCTTCATTACATTAATTCGAAGTTGCTATTATTCTGAGTAGTAAAATTTGGGAGCATCTTTGTATGCTCTACTTTATTATGTGTTATTATTTTTTTCCTTTGTGAGCTAAGTTTGTACTACAGAATCATATCATGACTTACTGCTCTTAATGAGTCTTTTACACTCGGTGGCCTCTTAATTAGGTACACCCTTCTACTACTGGGTAGAGGCCTTCCCTTTGCCCCCAGAACAACCTGAATATTTTGTGGCATGGATTCAACAAGGTGCTGGAAACATTCCTTAAAGATTCTGGTCCGTATTGACATGATAGCATCACGCAGTTGCTACAGATTAGTCTCTTGTGCATTTATACTGTGAATCTCCCATTCCACCACATCCCAAAGGTGCTCTATTGGATTGAGATCTGGTAACTGTGGAGGCCATTGGAGTACACTGAACTCACTGTCAGTTCATAGAACCAGCTTGAGATAATGTGCTTTGTGACATGGCATGTTATCCTTCTGGAAGTAGCTATTGGAAGATGGGTAGACTGTGGTCATGAAGGGATGCACATGGTTCGCAATAATACTCAGGTTGGCTGTGGCGTTTAAATGATGCTCAGTTGATATTATGGAGATTAATGTGTCCCAGGAAAACATTCCCCACACCATTACACCACCACCACCACCACCACCAGCCTGAACCATTGACACGAGGCAGGATGGATCCATGGATTCGTGTTGTTTACACCAAATTCTGACTATACCATCTGCATGTCAGTACAGATGTTGCAATTCGTCAGATCAGGCGATGCTTTTCCAATCTTCAACTGTCCAGTTTTGGTGAGCCTGTGCCCACTGTAGCCTTAGTTTCCTGTTTTTAGCTGACAGGAATGGAACCCGGTGTGGTCTTCTGCTGCTGTAGCCCATCCACTTCAAGGTTGGACATGTGCGTTCAGAGACACTCTTCTGCATACCACTATTGTAATGCATGGTTATTTGAGTTACTGTCACCTTCCTGTCAGCTTGAACCAGTCTGACCATTCTCCACTGACCTCTCGCATTAACAAGGTGTTTTCAGCCACAGAACTGCCGCTCACTGGATGTTTTGTGTTTTTCACACTATTCTCTGTAAACTTTAGAGACTGTTGTGCATGAAAATCCCAGGAGATCAGCAGTTTCTGAAATACTCAAACCACTCTGTCTGGCACCAATAATCATTCCACAGTCAAAGTCACTTAGATCACATTTCTTCCCCATTCTGAGGTTTGGTCTTAACAACAGCTGAACCTCTTGACCATGTCTGCATGCTTTTAGGCATTGAGGTGCTGCCATGTGATTGGCTGATTAGATATAGTATTTGCAGTAATGAACAGGTGTACAGATGTATCTAATAAAGTGGCCACTGAGTGTATATTGTGACATTCTTTCTAAATGTTTTTCTTACAGATTGATTTTCTTTTGTTAATTTATTTAAAAAATTACAAATGAGCATATTTAAATGCTTTACATAAGAAAATAAAATGTTTGAATATATTTTTATAAAGTTTATTAAAAAATGTTACTAAAGTGTCCCTTTTTCAGGTTCTTTTATTGCTGTGTTAACAGTTGTGATTCTGATAGTCCGTTTCTGCGTACAAACTTTTGTTGTAGAAGACAAACCCTGGTCTCCATTTTATGCTAACCATTTTGTCAAGTTCTTCATCATTGGTGTGACTGTGTTGGTAGTAGCAGTGCCGGAGGGTCTTCCACTTGCTGTTACTCTATCACTTGCTTATTCTGTAAAGGTAAGTCATGCTTCTCTGTGTTTTTGTCACATTTTTTGCATTATTTCTGTTCCACTACCTAAGGAGCATGTTCAAAACAATGCTCCTTTTTTAGACTGATTTTTTGAAAAAATTCTAGGTAGTTCAGTACTACAGTAATGTATTATCCTTAATATAAAAGTGGAAAGCTTTAAAAACATATTGATAATGCCAAGTTTATTTGGCACCCTTAAACTAAGTGTTGTTACTTGGGAAGGTGTTGCCATACAAGACAATTGTGTGTTACAACTGGAAACAAAAATAAAAGATCAGGTTAAGAAGTTGCAGTGAAATTAATGTTATCATTACAAAAGCCAAGGTAAACCAGGGAAACAACCAGATTAGTAAAGTGTTATAAAATGTACAGAATTATAACAGTGAGAGGAATACTCACTACTGCTGCCTAGATCTCAGGACAATAAAACAGTCAGAGTAGAAGGCACTACTCTCAAGATGCCACTAGCTGTTTGTAAGTCAAACCACATAATACTTTCACTTCACCAGCAGGTATCCACTTGAATAAAATAAGCACTAGGACAAACCATACCACGGGCGGGATTTGAACCCGCGGTCAGAGAGTCTCAAAACTCCAGACCGTCGCATTAGCCACAATAAGATTCGTCCAACTAGGTATATTTCTACACCATAGGAAGGTTAGCATAGGCACCACTGTGACCACAAATGCAAGTTTTTACAGACGAATCTCCAGCTAGCGTGGCCGTGAGTCACTAGGACAAAACAGTAACAAGCAGTAGTATAATTAAGTGAAAAAAGAAAAGAGTAATTAGAAAAAAAATTATGGATGTCAAAGGCAAGTTCGAAAAATCACGTTTGATACGACAAAAACATTGTTTTTTAAATTATTTTATTAAAAGAATTGCAATCTTAGAAAAGAGTTAGTAGGCAGAGTTTTTTTTTTTATCTATTTCCCAGGTGTTATATGACCCTTACAGGTTTACCATTTTCCTAAAAAAAAAAAAAAAAATATATAGCTGCCATAAGTTGCCCTGAGCCAGATCATTCCACAGTAGACAAGCCTTCCGTTATGATGCTCACTCACTACACCCATCACAATCTGTCATCTAAGCCAGTGCAACTTATGTTAGGCAGGCCTGCCTCCACCTTGGTGGGAGACACCTGTTGATGTAAAAATATAGTAATAATAATAAAAATTAAAAATTTTAGTTTTAAAAATGTATAAGATTGAATGAATAGTATTTTGTATATTTTCTGAGAAGTCCTCATAGTTATATACAGAGTATTTCGGGAAGACCAAACCTAAGACTTAGCACAGTACTACCATATTTAATTCTAATTAGTTATGCAGATAATAAGAATTTATTTAAACTGTAAGTTTAAAACAAAGATGATGAGCATTGTTATAATAATTTTTAAGCAATAATTCTGTATAACCTAGGTAGTAGGTTGGTAGACAGCAACCACCCAGGGAGGTACTACCGTCCTGCCAAGTGAGTGTAAAATGAAAGCCTGTAATTGTTTTACATGATAGGATTGCTGGTGTCTTTTGTCTGTCTCATAAATATGCAAGATTGCAGGTACGTCTTGCTACTTGTACTTACACTTAGGTCACACTACACATACATATACAAGCATATATATACACACTCCTCTGGGTTTTCTGCTATTTTCTTTCTAGTTCTAGTTCTTGTTTATTTTCTCTTGTCTCCGTGGGGAGGTGGAACAGAATTCTTCCTCCTTAAGCCATGTGTTTTGTGTGAGGCGACTAGGGTGCCGGGAGCAAGGGGCTAGTAACCCCCTTCTCCTGTATATATTACTAAATTTAAAAAGAAAAACTTTCGTTTTTCTTTTTGGGCCACCCTGCATTGGTGGGATATGGCCGGTTTGTTGAAAAAAAAAAAAATTATGTATAAATATGAAAGATTGTTAAAATATATTATATGACAAAAATGATTTGGTCTGTTCTTGGCAGGACATGTTAGATTTGTATATTTTATGATAAAATGCATTATTATAGGTAGTAGGTTGGTAGACAGCAACCGCCCTGGGAGGTACTACCGTCCTGCCAAGTGAGTGTAAAACGAAAGCCTGTAATTGTTTTACATGATGGTAGGATTGCTGGTGTCCTTTTTTCTGTCTCATGAACATGCAAGATTTCAGGTACGTCTTGCTACTTCTACTTACACTTAGGTCACACTACACATACATGTACAAGCACATATATACACACCCCTCTGGGTTTTCTTCTATTTTCTTTCTAGTTCTTATTCTTGTTTATTTCCTCTTATCTCCATGGGGAAGTGGAACAGAATTCTTCCTCCGTAAGCCATGCGTGTTGTAAGAGGCAACTAAAATGCCGGGAGCAAGGGGCTAGTAACCTCTTCTCCTGTATATATTACTAAATGTAAAAGGAGAAACTTTCGTTTTTCCTTTTGGGCCACCCCGCCTCGGTGGGATACGGCCGGTGTGTTGAAAGAAGAAGAAAGAAAATGCATTATAAAATTTCTGTATGTACATAAATTTCTTGTATGGGCACTTTCATGGATTGCTTTGGTAATAAGGTTACAGTTTGGTTCTTAAATAATCCTTTACAAGATGTGTACATATTTATTTGGTCTTGGTAGTACTGACTCTTATAATAAAGCAAGTGTTTATTAGGAGAATATTGTGTTCACAGGTGAGCTTTAAATCCTAACTTGGTAAGCTGGCATGTGAGCTTTAAATCCTGACTTGGTAAGCTTGCAGGTGAGCTTTAAATCATGACTTGATAAGCTTGCATTTGAGCTTTAAATCCTGACTTGGTAAGCTTGCAGGTGAGCTTTAAATTCTGACTTGATAAACTTGCAGGTCAGCTTTAAATCCTGACTTAATAAGCTTGCAGGTGAGGTTTACATCCACACTTGGTAAGCTTGCAGGTGAGGTTTACATCCACACTTGTTAAGCTTGCAGGTGAGCTTCAAATCAAGACTTGGTAAGCTCATCTGTGAGTAAAATATTGTCCAGATAAAAGACTGCTGTTCTAAAAGCATTTGTTGGCATCATTTTAACTTAAACTGTATTTTGGGCATATGAATCTTTTGTTAATCATGTAATATGATTTATGTACTGTAGAAAATGATGAAGGACAACAACTTGGTGCGCCATCTAGATGCCTGCGAGACTATGGGTAATGCTACTGCCATTTGTTCTGACAAGACTGGCACTCTCACCACTAACCGCATGACGGTGGTTCAGTCATACATATGCGGTGAAGACCACAAGACAACACCAAAATATGAATCGCTTCCACATCATGTTGCGGAGCTCCTGATTCATTCTATTAGTGTTAATTCTGCCTATACCTCGCGTGTTTTACCAGGAGATAACCCAGGAGATCTTCCGAAACAGGTTGGTCTCAGTTATATTGCCTTCCATCTCTCTATTCCAAAGAATATAGAGGAGTGTGTTATAGTTGGAAAAGTGAATTTGTAGTTACAGAATTATTTGATGTCCTATCTTATATGTAATTATTTTTTGTTTTCAGTGATTTGGGTAGTGGACCCTCAACCAACAACTTTAATCCGTTCCATAGAGCTAACCTTTAGTCAAATTAGCCGTTAGTCGAATTAATTTTCCCCATAAGAAATAATGGAAATAGAATTAATCCGTTCCAGACACCCAAAAGTATTAAACAAAATAACGTTTTTTACATGAAATATACATTTCCCTACACAGAAACAAATGGTACATGCAAAATAAACAGTAATTAAAAGCCACTTACCTTTATTGTGGAGTTGTTGATGAGTGATGAGCCAAGAGCAAGGGAGATTCAGGTGTTCTATTGTTTGGAAGGGGAATCCCCTTCCATAAAGACTTCAGGTACCAAGTCCTTTGCTGGGGTTACCTCCCTTCTTGGATTTTTAATGCCACTAGGACCAGCTTGAGAGTCACTGGACCCCTGTCAGACAAAATATCTGTCTAGAGTGCTCTGTTTCTCACATGCCCTTAGGATTTCCCTATAATGGGACACAAGAGTGTCAGTGTACATGTTGCCAATATGGCTTGCAACAGCTGTGCCAGGATAAAATTCATCCATAAATGCTTGCACCTTTGTAAACATTGTACACATTTCCTTCATCCTAGATGAAGGTAACTTCCTCCGTCTCTCTTCCTCCTGCTCTGAAGCACATTCCTGAGCTGTGACCTGTTACTGTTGCACCTCAAGCTCTTGCAGCTCTGCAGTGGTTAGTTCTTCATTGTTATTCTGCACCAGCTCTTCCACATCCTCGCCACAAACCTCCAACCCCATGGACTTCCCCAATGACACAGTAGCTTCCACAACTGGCATAGGCTCCTGAGGGTTAGACCCAAACCCTTCAAAATCCCTCTCTTGTACACAGTGTGACCAGTTTTTTCCAAGCAGAGTTCAAAGTCCTGCAAGTTGCTTCCTCCCAAGCCTTACCTAAAAGGTTTATGCAGCTGAGGATACTGCAGTGATCTTTCCAAAACTCTCTTAGGGTCAGTTCAGTGTCTGAGGTCACTTCAAAGCACATCTGAAACACTGCTTTTGTGTAGAGTTTTTGAAGTTTGAAATGACCTGCTGGTCCATGGGCAGGAGGAGAGGAGTGGTATTAGGAGGCAAAAACTTAACTTTGATGAAACTAAACTCCCCTGCAATTTGCTCTTGCAAGTTGTGAGGATGAGCAGGAGCATTGTCCATTACCAGGAGGCACTTGAGTGACAATTTCTTTTCCAGGAGGTAATTTTTCACAGTGGGGTCAAACACCATAAAACCAGTCCAGGGAAATTTCTCTAGTGACCCATGCCTTACTTCTTGCTCTCTACATCACACACAAATTGCCCTTGACGATATTGTTTTTCTTGAACACACTGGGAGTTTCAGAGTGATACACGAGTAAAGGCTTCACTTTACAGTCCCCACTAGCATTACTGTACAACATTAACGTTAGCCTGTCTTTCATAGGCTTGTATCCTGGGAGTGCCTTTTCTTCCTGAGTAATGTAGGTCCTGTTTGGCATTTTCTTCTAAAACAGGCCTGTTTCATCACAATTAAACACTTGTTGGGGTTTTAAGTTTTCAGTGTCTATGTACTCCTTAAAGTCCTGCACATATTTTTCAGCCGCTTTTTCGTCTGAACTGGCAGCCTCACCATTCCTTATCACACTGTGTATGCCACTATGATTCTTAAATCTCTCTAACCCGCCTTTGCTGGCCTTAAATTCATCAGCAGCAGCACTATTTGGAGGCATTTTCTTAATGAGATCATCATGCAACTGCCTTGCCTTTTCACATATTATTGACTGAGACACACTATCTCCTGATAATTGTTTTTCGTTTATCCACACAAACAACAGTCTCTCCACCTCTTCAGTTATTTGCGATCTCCTTTTTGAAAACATACTTGCACCTTTCCCTAGGTAGTAGGTTGGTAAACAGCAACCGCCCAGGGAGGTACTACCGTCCTGCCAAGTGTGTACAACGAAAACCTGTAATTGTTTTACATGATGGTAGGATTGCTGGTGTCTTTTGTCTGTCTCATAAACATGCAAGATTTCAGGTATGTCTTGTTACTTCTACTTGCACTTAGGTCACACTACACATCCATGTACAAGCATATATATACACACACCCCTCTAGGTATTCTTCTATTTTTTTTCTAGTTCTTGTTCTTGTTTATTTCCTCTTATCTCCATGGGGAAGTGGAACAGAATTCTTCCTCCGTAAGCCATGCGTGTTGTAAGAGGCGACTAAAATGCCGGGAGCAAGGGGCTAGTAACCCCTTCTCCTGTATAAATTACTAAATTTAAGAGAAACTTTCATTTTTCTTTTTGGGCCACCCTGCCTTGGTGGGATACGGCCGGTGTGTTGAAAGAAAGAAAGACTTGCACCTTTCACAACAACAGCTTCCTTGATTGCCTTTCTGTTCGCCAAGATAGTAGTGATGGTTGAATGGGGTTTGCTATATAGCCTTTCCAACTTGGACATACGCACTCCATTTTCATATTTTTCAATTGTCTCTTTCTTCAATTCCATTGTAATTCTCACGCTTTTTATCACAGGGTTGGCACTAGAAGCTTTCTTGGGGCCCATGGTGGCTTATTTAGTGGTTACAAGCACTAAAAACAATGGGATAATACAAAATATATCGCAGATACACATGGAATTGACTACAACGGCTTGTGAACAATGGCAACCTGGCTGTACACGGAGTCTTGGAGTGGCTGGGCCCGCTCAGGCAGCATGGACACATTTGGAACGAAAGTCTTTAGACAAGTTTTTTGCCGTTGGTAGAGCCAATATTTTGATGCCAAAGAGCGCCGTTAGTCGATTTTGGCATTAGTCGATGCCGCCGATGGTTGAGGGTCCACTGTATAATACTGTACTTCCTCTTGATACCCATTCCAGCTACCTACCTGGTTTTGTGTTCTGTTGGTAGTTTAATAATCCTTCCATATTTATTATCTTGTATTCTTTTATGAATCTGTTTGTGGTTCCCATACATCAACTTTTTTGTGTATGTATTCCAGTGAAGGCTTATAATTACTGTACTTGCAAATATCTGTTTGAGTTTGTAGTGAGTGGGGGTAACCTTTTGGGCCTATCTTTAAATTTTTATTGAGTTTCATTAGCTCTGTTGTCTTAGCCTTGCTACCTACTATGTATGGGATTTCCACAGATAATTTCATTTACTTGCCAAAAATGGTTGTACATGTAACCCATAATGTAACAGCTGCTAATGAAAACATAATATAGCAAGTCTTATACGTTATTATTCTGGGATTGGAGGGAAGGAAATAGATGCTTATGTTTGAACATGCTACTCTTATTCACTTGACCCCAACATTAATGTGAAACCTGTAGTGCCTGAACTGTGAAGGATGGGTGGGGATATTGCAATTTGGAAGGGCATACTGTAATGTCAGAGTACCTGCAGCAAGTCGGTGATGGAGTGAGTGAGGGTGAAAGTGTTTTTTTTTTTCGGGTCGCCCTACCATGGTGGGAGATGGCTTGTGTGTTAAAAAAAACTTAATTTATCACACTCATTAATTCTGCCCAACTTCGTTCAGTATTTTTTTTATGATTAAGTGTTTATTGAGAGTGATGGTACAATCCAGGCACACACTACCACTGCTGCTGCACACCCACACATCTACATTTTTAATATTTACCTCAGTTTTCAATTATCAAATGCATTTATTTTTCATGTATGTTCATTTGGTATAGGTTTGGTAGGTTTCTATTTTTTTTAACTCGCTGGTCGTCTCCCACTGAGGCAGGGTGACCCCCCCCCCCCCAAAAAAAAAAAAAAAAAAAAAAAAAAATTACCATCGTTCACACTATCACTGTGTTTGGAGAGGAAATATGGATTTTTATATTACAGTTGATTAGGGTAAGTGCTCACAGTTGTTTTCATTATTTTATTTTATATTGTTTTGAGATGAAATACACTGGTATGGTACAACAGTATTCGGTGATGTGTTCTGATGAGCTAGTAGCATGTGCATTCCTACCTAGTTTTTGATGAGATACCCCTTTGGGAGTGGGGTTATTGTAAAAGCAGGACGTGCCCATTAAGTGAGGGGTGGTTCTGTATTTTGAATTTTCACTCCACTTCCTCCCCTAGACAAAATTTTATTTCATTTTGATATTTCTGCATCATCCATTTATAGTGATTATTCCCTCCATTAATTGTTTTAAAAAAAGTAAAAAATTTAAAAGGGAAAAAGTAGTGAGTTTTTTGGGAAAGGGTAATTCTAGTGTTGTGCAAGGAAACCTCTCCCTTTTAACACTGATTTTTTTTTCTTGTAATTTACTTTAAAAAAATTATTACTTTTATTAGTTTTTCATGAATCTTTTAGTAAAAGTTTTAAAATGCAAATAATGGGTCTTCTTTTGTTTCATTTAGTGCTTCTCTTGATTTGATATTTAGGAAAATTTTCTGATCTAGATTGTTACTATTCTTTGCATTTTTTGTTTACTAGGTGGTTCTCCATTTTTTTTGAAAGAGTTTTTTCCTAAGACTCATCAGGGAAAAGGCTTTATTGTAATTACCTAGCTAATTTGCAAAAGTTAAATTTAAACTTTTTGGGTGGCGCCTTTGCCTTAGTACAATGATAGAGTATAGTTCTTTCATATTTACTGTTGATTCATGTATAATATGACCATTTTGTTTGATTGGTTTTAAATTTTTGTTCTTACACTAAAAATGTTTTTTTAATGACAGCAAATTTTTTTCATTGGTCATCGGGAGTGAGCCTCATTTTTTGTTTTGCTCCCACCTGTGTCATGTCCCGTCATGTGAGTCTTTTTTTTTTTGACACTTTATGTCCCTAAAATTTTTTAGGTTTCGTCTTCTCCTTGTTCTGCATTCCACTTCTGCTTGCAGG